CAGCAGGATGGGGGGGTACTTACCTCCTCCTGCTGCTTCCTCCTCTGCCTCCCTCCACCCACCCCCCGCGAGTATCGCGGGTCCCCCCTTGTGCTTATCTATACAGATGTGCAGGAGGGAGTTGTATTGTCTGGGCTTTTCCTAGGTGCCGTGGGAGAGTGTTGGTTCTCAGCTTTAGCTACCTAACGGTCTCCAAGCTTTATCCCGTGCGCGGGAGGGTGCCTAATTGGCCAGTGCTCTGGGGGGGGGAGGTTGCATACGAATACCCTATATCCTATTATGCCCATGGGGCCGCCGCCATTCTTAACAGTGCTTATGTTACTGCATCTATAGCTCTGCAATAAAAGTATTACCGTTCCGGAATGCGTGTACTTCGTTGTTGGCTGTGGGTTCTGACAGCATGGAGCCCAACTGCGCTGTAGCACTTGACAGAACGGACCATTGGATACTCACCGTGAAGGGTCCTCCTCCTCTGAGGAAACAAGGACATCTTGATGGGTGATTCCCACCCTCTGTTCAGGGAGGCAGGAACTAATTATGTTCCACTTCCTGTCTCCTCATAGGACTTACCCTTCTTCTCAGTTCTGGTGCTCCGAAAGCAGTCAATAAACTTCAGACAGTAAAAGGCTAACATATAAACTATTTACAAGAAAAACCTGAGTAACAGTAAGAACAGAACAATAAGACAGGAAGTAGATTTGTGGTATAGAAGAGTGAATGATGATGATGATGATGTCCTCCTTTCCTCAGAGAAGGACCCTTCATGGTGAATATCTGATGGTCCATGTTGGACCTCTGAGGCAGAGGACATCTTGATGAGACCTCCCAAAGCAGTGTCCACCTTTCCTGGGTGGGTCATCGTCTTCTGGTTCTAAAATGTGCTGTAACACTCTTCTTCCAAATGCTGCGTCAGCTGAATCAAAGATGTTTATCTTGTAATGTCTTACGAAGGTGGAAATTGTTTATCAGATGGCTGCCTTGCATACCTCTTCTTAGTTGCTGCACTTCTAACTGAGTGGGCAGTAATACCAGGAGGTATGGCTGATTTTGACATCCTCTGTCCCTTATTCAGTAGGGACATGGAAATGAATAAGGAGCCATTTTTTTCTAAAATCCTGAGTCCTATGGATGAAGGTTTTTACATGCCTTATATCTAAGGTATGCCACGATCTTTCTTTCGGATGGGCCAGATTAAGCCAGAAGACAGATTTCCTGAGATCTCTGAAATTTTGAATCTACCTTTGGTTTGAAACTAGGGTCTTTCCTCACGACCACGTTGTCTGTATGGAAAACACACAGCTCAGGCTTGACTGACAAGGCACCTAGCTCTCATACCCTCCTAGCTGATGTAATTGCTACGAGGAATAAGGTTTTCATCCTCAACAATTTAAGTGGAATTGAATGAGCTCGAATGGATGCCTGCCAAAAGTACAGTCTGCAATTTCCATGTGGGAAATCTGTGTTGTGGAGGATCCTTAAGAGTAGCACTCCTGAGGAAGCACCGAATATGTGGTGTCTTGAAAGACGTGTGCCCTGGAATAAGGGTAGCACTGCTGTAAAAGCTGCAACTTGATGTCTTAAGGCAGAAGCTTTGAGGCCGCTGTTGTGTCCATCTTGGAGAAAGGAGAAGACAGATTGAATCTTAGGTTTCAGGGGGTCAATGCCTTTTCTTCTACTCCACATGACGAATGCCTTCCAGGTGGTGTTGTAGATTCTACTGGTTGATTGTTTTCTAGAGGCCACTGACCAGTAAGGTAGGCATAAAAACTTGTCCCACTCAGTCTTCAGAAGGTTAAATGTAGCCACTCTGGATGAGAGTGCCATAGAGGACCTTGCTGAAGCTTGTCTGGAGACACAGGAAGAGTTAGTGGTGGTCTGGTCATCATCTCCTGAAGAGCTGAAAACCATGGTCTTCGAGGTCAATATGGAGCTACCAAGACGACTTCTGCCTTTTGCGCCTTGATCTTTCTGATTACTTTCAGCAGAGTGTTGACACTACGCGCGAGAGGGAGGGGGGGGGGGGGGGGGAGAGATGAAGAAAAGACCACTTGGTCACTGGGATGTTAAGGTGCCAGTTGCTTCTGCCCTTGGATGGAAAAATCTGGTGTAGAACCAGTTCACCTGATGGTTGCTTGGTGAGGCAAATAAGTCCACAGGGCAGACTGAAGTGGGAAGTTACTGTTAGGAACAACTCTTTCTTCAGGGACCATCCTCCCCTGCTGAATATCCCAGCTGCTGAGCCAGTCCACCTGGAGATTCGTTTATCACTTTATATGTTCCACCTTGACTGATGCCAGGGTCTTCTCCGACCACACTAGTATCTTGCTTCCTTCTGAAGCATTGGGGATCTTGACCCTCCTGGTTTGTTTAGGTAGGTTTTGGCACACATGTTGACCATCCTGATTAAGACAAGTTGGTCCAGTATTTGTGCATGGAAGTGGAGAAGGGGTAGGTGAATTGCCCACAGCTCCAGCAGGTTGATGGGGAGACTCATCTCCTTGTTGGATCATCAATCCTACACTGGTGAATCTTCTAGTATTGCTCTCCATCCTGACAGACTGGCATCTGTCAATACCTGTTTCAAGGCTGGAATGTAGTTGTTGGGGAAATGAGGGGTGCAGGAACCTTTTCATGAACTCTCATCTTCCCCTGCAAAAGGTTGTGTGTCTTTGTCCACCAGACAAGAATGGTTTTTACTGTCAGTGGAACTCAGATGGAAAGATCTTCCTTGGCTTTGATTTGAAGTTCAAAAGGTCTCAGGAGCTTCTGTAAGGGCCTTGTGTGTAATTGAACTCACTGGAAGGCGTGAATGCTCGAAATGAGAAGCCTCATTAATTTCGTGAGAGTCATTAGAGATGAATACCTGCTCTTGATTACCACTTGCAACATCTCTTTCGGTTTCTTTGCCTTTGTTTCGGTTAAGACGCCTAGTTTCAGTTAAGACACAAGTTGTTTTCAATAGGACGTCTAGATGTTCCATTCTCTGCATAGGGTGTAGGGATCTTTTCTGTTTGTTGATCAGAAACTCATAATTCTGTAGACATCCCATAGTTTTATCTATGCCACATCTGGGCCTCAGAACTTGACCTGATTAACAAGTCAGCCAAGTAGGGATGGATGTGAATCCCTAATTCTCTCAGGTTCGTGACTGGGTTGATTAAAATCTTTGTGAAGACCCCTGGTGCTGTGGACAAACCGAATGGGAGGGCCCTGAGCTGTAAATGGGTCCCTCTGACACAGAACCAAAGGAATCTTCTGTGGCCAGGAAAGATCAGAATGTGAGGTCGACTGATGTGAGGGATTCTTCTGGTTGCAGTGACACTGTGATGGATCTCAGAGTCTCCATCCTGAAATGTCTCCGCTTGATGAATTTGTTGAGATACTTCAGGTCTAGTACCCCCTCCAATCTCCATTCTTTTTTGACACCATGAAGAATATGAAGTAGACTCCTTGAAGAAGACTTCCTCCCCCCCCCTCTGAAGGGGGGAAATGTTCTATGGCTCGGATAGTGAGAAGATGTTGGATAGCTGCACGGGTTCTTTGAATTTTTTTCTGAATTCTTGTGTAGGGGAGAGGTCATAAAACATTCCAGTGGGGTTCTGGTAAACTCTATGAAGTATCCTTTGGTCACCATCACTGTGGCCTATTT